AACCCTTTTGGCTCAAAGGTTTTTTAAAGGCTATTATTCATTCATATATTACATTATTCTGCAACATTTGTAGGTGTTATTAAATTATTGTTTATTAAACTGTTGTAGTAACTTAATATCACACTTTAATCATGCAGATTTTTGGAGGATAAAAAGTGAAATGGCACTCTTCGTCTGATATTAATTAATCACATTTTTTAACCACCATATGTTGAATTTTTTGATCATTCACATGCATTGCATTTTAGGGGTTCCAAATACGTAACGCTTTAGAACCTTTTAAGGTTCTATATTGAACCTTTTCTTCTAAGAGTGTAATCTAGTAACTATTATTAACTAACAAGAAACTCTGATTAACAAACTAGTAAGTAATAGCGCATAGATTAAGTGTTACTACTTTCTGTGGGAATTACTAATTATTTGGATTCGTATTATAAAGTGAAGAACTAACTAATAATTACTCAAGTGTTACTAAAGAAATTTTCTAAAAGTATACTAAAGTTCACCAAAAATCTCAAACAGTTGCACAAATCATGACTAGATCATGTAGTAACACTTGAGTCATTAGTTAGTTCCAATGATCTTCACTTTATAATACAGATCCATTAGTAAGTAGCTCACAGATGAAAGTGTTACTAGATACTTCTATGGGAATTACTAATTATTTGGATCCGTATTATAAAGTGAATATCATTGGAACTAACTAATTACTCAAGTGTTACTACATGATCTGGTCATGATTTTTGCAACCGTTGTAACCTGTTGTGTTATCACAAATGAAATTGGATGTTGCACTTAAAATGCAATGGTTTACCTAAATAAATTATTGCCTAATATGACAATTCATATTGCGTCTTTCTGTCATTTGCACTAAAAACATCCCTGTCTCATGTTAAGGTCCCTAACCCCTCGCATAATGATGACACATTGCACTCGCACATTTATCAGTTAGGCATTATTAGTGTCATAAGGGAGTTCAATCCATTGTTTATGGCCTGACGAGCCGCGCGTGAGTTTTAGTAATAGTAGTTTTTGACAATCAAGTGCCACCCCAAATAAAAGACTGGCACAGGCTGGCCCCCCCATAAATAATGTCCTGGCTACGCCCCTGCTTCCAAAAAAAAAAGTGAAAGTCAAACTGTTTCCACGCGACCATAGACTGCACCTGCACGCGACCGGTGCGGTAAGGCACCGCAAATTACTCAGGCCGCGCCTCCATGTACGAAGTCCATAAAATGAAGCGAAATTATCCTTCTCGTCACGAAAAGAGGAAGAAGAAAAACATGAGAGTGAATTGCGGGAACAGCAGTCAGGTAAACTTGTGTTCTCTCCTCTCTAATGTCAGCAAAGTTTGATGGTTTGTCTGGGCAGGCAGTGCATCTCTTGCATCACTTTTTGCCTGACAAAAGTGCGAGTAAAATACCATTATTTATTACGTTTTGTTTTTGATAAACGACAAAGTGCAACAACAGTGTTTGTTTACTGCAGCTCGGAAAACATAACCGCGTCGCGTGTGTTGCGTTCATATGCGCGTGCACGAAATGAAACTCTCATTTTTCAAGCAGAAATGTGGAGACCAGAGAAATACTGTACAATACGTGAATGATGGCACTCCCAATCAAAGTACACATTATAAAGACACTGATTATCTAGTCTCAGTGTAGTTAAAAACTCTAAACAACTGCACTAATTATGCAAGATATAACCAATGTATTGGAAATTTGACATTGATTGACTATTATTGAATTTAAAATGATGATTAGATGGACATTCTGGTCGATATGAATGCAAATCCCTCAGTAAATAACCATAAATCAAGATTTGCTTCAACATGCATAAAAAATAAAATAAAATAAAAAAATTAAAAAAAAATCATAGGCTACTGATTCCGAAAACACCCAGGCTGTAGAGTGAACCAAAGTTAATCCCAAAAGCCAAAGTTCAGGGTTGTACTTTATTATTTTCTTCTTGTTTATGTTTACGTTAATATTCACTTGTTATCTTAACATTCTATAAAAATGCTTTATTCAGTAAATATTGTTTGTTTGAACCTCATTCTGTTCTATATTCTTGTACTTATTCTTTGACTGTTTTGTTTAAAGGAGGGAGGATTGTATTGGGCGGTATTGAGTGGCAATGGCAAATGGTTTACATGGCTCACGGCATCACAGATCAGGTAGAGGGCCCCTTAGAAGAATTTTGCTTAGGGCCCCAGGGGGAGGTCAGGATTGGCAAAAAAAGAATTGTATTTTTTCCCGAAATCGTTTTTTATTTTTTCGAGTTTTTTCCATTCAATCCAGATTATTTCTTTTCACATAAATAAATAAATAAATAAATAAATAAATAATTTAAAAAACAATAAACAACAATATGAGGAACTCTTTTGCTCATTTGTCTCATCTCTGACATTTTGCAATCTTTATAAATAATACCATAAGATGAGGCATTGCGTTTGGACATAAACACGGCCAGATAAGGCAATTTGGAAGGGGACAAATTCAACTGAATACATTCCTTCATATTAGGGATGCACCGAAATGAAAATTCTTGGCCGAAACCGAAAACCGAAAAAGAGGAAACCAAGGCCGAAAACCGAAACCGAAACACCGAAAGAATTATTAGTATCATTGCATTTATGGCTATGACTGTGTACAAACTTTAATAAAATCAAGGCATTGCAATTGCATATTAATATCACATTTTCAAAGAATAAATCAATTACAAATTATGCAAATATTTATTTAGCACAATGCACAGTATAAAATAAAATTCAAACTAAAATGTTTAACTTGACCCCACTCATGTGTACACTAAATAATAATCTACTGGCCTGCAGAAAGGTTTTAAAATGAAATGTTCTCTCAAAAACAAAACCGAGCGCAAACTTCTCTTTAAACCAACCAGCACCCAGTTTGCATGTCTAAATTAGTTAAATTTAGCATACAATAGCATAAAAAGCCTTTTTAAATGAACAATGGTCCATGTTTAATACAAATGTACATGAAACTTAATGAAACATGTCTAGTGAATGTATTTAAATATTTAAGAGAGCATTAATTTAGTTCTATACATACATATACATAGTTCCCAATCCCATATACATATTTTTTTGTAATGGCACAAGTAATAATCTCAAAGTTTACTGAGTTCATGATTATTTTTGTATTGGTGGTGGAATAGCCTACTAAAAAAATAAGCATTGTCATGTGTTTATCTTTCTTCTTCTCACCGATTCCTGATGGTTAGAGGACAGTTACTTGAGTCGTCACAAGGAATAGTACAACGGCGAGCGGGTCAAGTATAAACGCCTCGACCGTTTGGAGCGGTGCGCGCGCTGTCTGTGGAGACTCGCGCTGCCTTGTTTACTTTCGCCTACCTCCGCAGCGCGAGTCTCCACAGACAGCGCGCGCACCGCTCTTGACCCGCTCGCAACCGGAGTCGTCGTCATGGCGGCGCGCATTGTTTAGAGCAGATATAGGTGGATAAACAAGGCTTCCGTCTCCTCGCGGGTTCAGATACACTGAAATACGTCCACACCGCATACATGTTGCTTCAGACAAGCACGTGCAGGTCGCGGTTTCTGTTTGCGTCATCACAACATTTCGGCCGTATTGTTTCGGTGATAAAAGTCTTTCGGACGAAAACCGAAAATGCTATTTTCGGCCGAAAATTTTCGGCGGCCGAATATTCGGTGCATCCCTACTTCATATAGCCCCTGGGGGGGGGGGGGGCAACTGCCCCTCAAAATTCCTGTGTACGTCCCTGCGTACCTCGGTTTTAAAGTCACGGTTCGGTACGTTTTCGATACAGCAAAAAGAAAGAAATGCCAGAGAAATTTCCTATTTGTTTAAGGAAAAAATATTTTTAAATAATTGTGGGTTTTCCTAGATCTTGAAACTTTCAGGTTTATTAATGGGGCTCATCTTTGATAAACGATCTGTGAAGCACATAACGAGTAGCGCAGTTTCGTTCTGCTTTCATTACGCTTGCCATTTGATGTTGTGTTGGCCGCGTCAGCAAGAATTTTGCCGGCAGGAAAAATGGTCCAAGCAATCGTTCGGTTTGTATGCATTCCGAACCGGAAGCCTCGAACCGAAACGGTTCAATACGAATACATGTACCGTTACACCCCTACTTCCTTGTAATACACCCTATGTTCTATTGCAAATCCTTTGTAACATTGTTGGCTCTGTGACACATTGCATGTTCTAGTCTAGAAGATCATCATGCTGAAGTCCGGCTGCACCCCCTGTCCAAGACAATCTCCACGGCTATGAACTCGATTAGTAAGCAAAACCTCAAACATACAGTGCACTACTGTTCAAAAGTTGGGGTCTGTAAGATTTATGCTTTTGAATGAAGTCTCACACTTTAAATTTTTTTTCATTGAGACTGTTCTTGAGAAACCTGTGGGATAAATTATCGGCGGCAAATGTTATAATGGTCATAGTTATAATAATAATTAATTTAACTATTATGATAACAGCATATCATGGTCATTGGTATATTTTATTTTATTTCTCTTGGTGTGTTTTTAATTATGTTGGCCAATGAGACAGACACCATACTGTTCAATGCAAAGATATTTATTTATTTTATGTATTTTTTACTGATAAATACTGAAATTCTTTAAAGGGATAGTTCACTTTGAAATTAATTTTTGATATGTTTTAGCTTACCTCAAGGGCATCCAAGATGTAGATGTCTTTGTTTCCACAGTATTTTAAATTTTGACATTTTTCGGTCAAACCATTCTTGTCTATCAGTCATATAATGCAGGTCTATGGAGCCCACCTCAAAGAGCATGCACAGAGAAGTCCAACTTAAACATGATTGAATGACTCGTAAATGTAAGTACACACTGATGGCCTAAGACACTGTTCGTTTTCTCACACAAACCGCTCGTTTCGTATTTATATAGTTTTTACCTTGTGTATCCACAGCCAGGTCCAAGTGATCTGAATCAGTTATCCAATGTCCAACCGAACCGAACTGAACCATGTCCAACGTTCTGCTGGAAGTGATCGCCTGCGAGTCGACGTCACTCATTGTTTACACTGAGATTTCGGATGTTTTACCTTTCACTAAACATATTTAGATATACATGAAATCGAAATGGAAGACGATTTCGGTATATCTAAATATGTTTAGATCTTCACAGTGAAAGGTAAAACATCCAAAATCTTTGTGTAAACAATGAGTGACCTACACGCGCAGGTGATCACTTCCGGCGGAACGTTGGACATGGTTCAGTTCAGTTGGACATTGCTCAGCTAATTCAGATCACTTGGACATGGCTGTTATATAAATACTGTTTGTTTTCTCTCACAAACCGCTCGTTTCATGTCTTAGGCCATCAGTGTGTACTTACATTTTCATTCTTCAGGAATTCTACATTCTTCAGGACAAGATCTTGATGACATCCACACTCAGTACATGATGAAGGTGAGTTTCACAAAAGCTGCCACTATCACAAACCAAGAGACAGAACACAACAGGCCTTCATCTATATGAACTCACCCATATGTAAGGATGGGTAAAAGCCGCGTTGTCAAGCCGCGTTCACGCGAATATTTATTCGGGTTCAAATAAATATGGCTGGGCAAGATAAATGCAAGTCTTCCTCTGTGTCGAAATCCTTAGACATCCTTAGAACGAAGATTGTTTTGTTTGCAGTGTGTGTCTCCCTCAGACTGTAAACTAAGCTCGGGTGCACCAGACACGTCAGCAGCGTCTTACGTCAGCAGCGGCACTAAACACAGATTGACAATAGAACCGGAAGACAATATAATGCTGAATAAAGTCATAGTTTTTGGTTTTTTTGGACCAAAATGTATTTTTGGCCAGATAGTGCAACTGACCAATAGCAGTTGAGTATTCCAGCTTGTATGTTAATGTGGTGTGTATTCTTCTCATTTTAGCTCCTGCGTCCATTTGGGCTGAAGGTCGAGACAGAACCAACCCAAAGCTGGACTGTAACCTACTGTCATATGACAGACTTCATACTGACAACTACTGGCGTGGATGCGGCATCACATGTTTTTCAACAAAACCTTTTTCACCTAGAATTTAAAGTGTGGATTAGTCATCCCCCATCCCTCCATGTCTTCATCTCTTGTGAGTGGATATCATTTAAAACATTCTTAAAAGAACTCCTCAATTTCTTCTGAATTTATAGTATTTATTGTTCTTGTCAAGTAATATTGCTGTAATGCTGTTAATGAATGTACAGTATAAATTGCAATCACGCTTGTGTTGGACAGGTGTGGTTCACAGGTTATAGACATTTTAGAGGAGGTAGATGCTGTGTATTTAAAGGTGTTCTAAGTCATGTTTATTTGTACTATCTTATTTTTGTATATAAATCATTATTACAGTGGAACAAATTGCTATTTTTTTATTTGTAAATTAGAAACTGATTTTTTTTTTACCATTGTACAGCACCACTTTATCACCAATAATGTTTTATAACTTTGTAGTCAAATTATTGTTTTATGTCACATGTGAGAACAAATGCAAGTTTATATTTTCTTTCAGATGTAATTTTTGTAATAAAGTCTGTATATAGAATGATAACTTCTTTCTGTTGTTATTTTGTAGGTGTTTGTTGTAATTGAATGGCTTAAATGTAATTCAAGATAATTTAGTAAAACTGCAGTTTTGCTGTAGTATTACTACAATATTACTGTAGTAGAACCATGGTATCAAAACCATGGTTTTTAAAAATACCAGTTACTACAGTCATGGTTACTATGGTTTTACTGTAGTATTACTACAATTTTACTGTAGTAAAACCATGGTATCAAAACCATGGTTTTTACCAGTTACTACGGTCATGGTTACTATGGTTTTACTGTAGTATTACTACAATTTTACTGTAGTAAAACCATGGTATCAAAACCATGGTTTTTACCAGTTACTACGGTCATGGTTACTATGGTTTTACTGTAGTATTACTACAATATTACTGTAGTAAAACCATGGTATCAAAACCATGGTTCGCACCAAAATACCACGGTTACTACGGTCATAGTTAACTACAGTTTTACTATAGTAAAACCATGGTTAATTTTCTAATCCACACTCGTAAAGTTATTGTTTTCCCCTCATTAAAACCGATTATGTTTATCAGTTGTTGTCAAGCAGGGACATGACAAAATGTTTGAATGCATTTTACTTTGTGGTTTCACCGGTACGAAAAGAGATTTCTCCGCAACTGATCAAGCTCGTGTCCATGTGAAGATGTTCCTTGTGGCAGCGCGAGCCACAAGAGAACACTTTATCAGCACTCAACGAGTCAACGAGTACTTTGATCACTTGATTTAAAAAACACATTTAAGCTTGCTATTTCTCCTCTTATTTAACAAATGAATGCTCTGCTAGACTAGTTAACCGGATATGTTTTATTTATTTGTATTGGTAAATCCGTGCCGCGAGATGTTTAAAAGTGCTGGGGACAATATCGACCCTGGCAAAAAGTGGTGAGGAAATTCCCAAATAATAATTATAATAACAGGAAAAGGTGTTTTTTTTTTGCGTAAAAATATTTCTCAAACGGCAGTGCCCCCCCGCTGATTAGGGATGGGTATCGTTAAGGTTTTATCGGTATTACTACTCTTACCGATACCGCTTATCGATCCGGTACTTTAACGGTATTCTTATCGGTTCTTTTTGGTGTTTTTTATTATTTATTTATTTATTTATTTTAAGAATTAAGAACATAATTAAACTTTATATTTTGAAATGTAAAATAGAAAAAGCAAAACGAAGAAAAATATATTTTTGTTATGCAGCAATGTGCAGGCTTTTTTTGTTTATACAAAAAGGACACATAAGAAAAAAACAAGTACAAACACAAGAATACAACTAATCAAAGATACAAATTATATACAAAGTGCTTTAATTTCAGGAAGGTCTATTAACATATCTTTTCAGGTAATTGTTTCTGTCTAAAAAAGAAACCTAGTAATCAAATATAAAATAGCACTGTATAGTTTATCATAGAAAGAATAATGCTTATTAAATCTAAAGTTACTCATTCAAAAGCTATGAGTGATTTTCTCTGCCTTTTGTTTGATTTGGATTAATGGCTGAATCGTCAGCAGGTTTAGGCTATTAGACTGCTGCCCCTTTAAGACCGAGTGCAGATAATGGGTACTGATGCACCATAATTTTCTCCCTATTATTTACGTCCATTTAAGACATAATTGTGTTTAAGTGAATAAACTGTGTTTAAGTGAATCTCAGAGCTGGTCATTTTGACATTTTTATGTATATTTGATGGTTAAGGACGCACGAAGCCCAAGTATAGGCTAATTTTCTGTTGCAGTCCGTTTCGGAGGGCGCACCGCTTCTCTTGCGCAGGTTTTTGTGTTTTTAATAGCCATCTTTTGATCTTGCACGAGTAGAAGACAGCATTTTGCAACAATCGCCGATCGTGCTGATTCTGACGGTTACGTTTGGGTTTAGGAAGAACTGACAGCGCTCCGCAGTGCTGTGAAGTGAAGGAAGTTAAGCTGGACAGATCGTCTCATTTTTTTTAACGGTTTTATCTCAAATATCTTCTTTTTATAATCTTTGGAAGCCGAAATACAAAATATATTAGAATAATATCGCAGATCTAAAGTGTAACCATGTTGAATGTTTAGTTCTGTCCTCATTGTCAGTCACTCATTAAGCAGGGCTGTCGTGTTGCGCGTGCTGTGGATTTGCGTGAGAGATCGCTCTCTCTGTTCTCTCTCTCTTCTGAACTGCGAATTGCAAATTTGCATCACAGACAAATGGTTTAATTAAAATATAGTTTATATATAGAAATGGCTGGCGATACATGTTCAAGATAACGTCTTTATTGGAATAATAAATAGTAGCCAAACTTTCGTGTATTTACTTAATTTCTCCAGTAACGACAGCAGAACCGATAACGTCCGAGCTTATCGATACAGCGGTCTTTCAAAATTCAGTACCGGGGCCCTTTTAATACCGGGTTTCGGTAACCATCCCTACCGCTGATGACCCAATGCCCCTCCAGTAGATCTGCTCTGGGGCCGACTCTGTCAAGCCACGCCCATTAAGCCCCGCCCCCAGCACCCCCATGATAAAATATGTTCCCACGGCCATGGGTATTATAAAACGTTTTACCTCCTTAAATGTGAAGCGAACTTCAGACACGCGCAGACAGATCATATACAGGTTGGTGTGTCCCTGATGTTTATAGAATGCCAGAAAAAAATAATTTTGAAATAATCAGTAGTGTACAGGTGGGCATAATTATTTCAATCAATCAATCAATCAATCAATGAGAGATGTTTTACCGCATTTGTTACACCGAAACACTCGACCACTACTTAACAAAACTAATAAGAAAGCAGCAGGCCGTTCACTGCTCATTTAAATATCTGATGACGCATTACTCCCTTCTCTATGCTCATTGGCTATCATAAATTACGTAGCCAATGGAAACACTCCTTTTCCGAAACTGCACATATTGTCGTAGTAATCAACTAAAGTTTATTTACTCATATTTAAAATTGAAATGAACAAAAAATTATAAACCAGACAAAGTAAGGAAAATAAAGAAACCTCAATTTAATTGTGATAACCTCAAATTTGGGACAACTTGGTTTGAATATATTTTGAATTTCTAGCAATGTTAAACTTCTGTACAACCCATTTATTAAAAGTTGCATAAAATGTTTCATGCGTGCATTTTTATCCTTAAAATGTTAAAATAAAATCATCAAGATAAATTGCACATTTAAAACGCCTGATTGTATCCACAAGTTTCCGAGGGGCGCTCCTGTAAAAAATAAAGTGGGTGAAACTTCCGGTGAGGCGGCGGAAGTAGCATTCCAATGGTATTTTGTGTGTAGTTAGCGAAGAGGCTAGCTGTTTTTCGGAGAATTATTTTACTATTTAAAGACGCAAATCTTTATGAGAGATGTCGTTACGGAGCTCAGGGACAACATGTGCTGTTCGCGGTTGTATGTATAACCAGACTAAACTAATTCAGTGGCTTAAACGTGATTGTTTTGAACATTAAGCTGAAAACGAAATCAGAGTGATCCTGCCAGAGCCCGTCTCTGTTCCTGTCAACGACTGTAGTTTCCATCACCTCCCAAAAGACGACGAATCTTCCTGTGTACATTTGTTTAAATTCTTAATATTCTATAAACTCTATCAGCATGTGATTGGCTGTTCGCTACTGATGTTACACCTAAACTCAGGATCAAAGCCTGTGTTGACAGAATACCAAATCTGTCAGTTAATGTATTTAAGTAGCACATTCATTTATAATTTTGAATAAACTCCAACCCTTGTGAAAAAGAAGTGTGCTTAATTGTATTGAAAGTGTACTTTTTGTGTGCTTAAACTCATGAAAGTATACTTTTTGAAAAGTGTACTTGCAGATAATATAATATAATTACAATTAAAGACCACTTAAGTTTAACTTAAAGTAATTACACTTTCATCACAATATTTATACTTAAGTGCACTTTTAAAAATGCACTTTGTAATAATATGTAATTAAGTTTAACTTAAAGTAATTACACTTTCATCACAATATTTATAAACACACTTAAGTGCACTTTTAAAAATGCACTTTGTAATAATATGTAATTAAGTTTAACTTAAAGTAAGTACACTTTCATGACAATATTTATAAACACACTTAAGTGTACTTTTTAAAAATGCACTTTGTAATAATGTCTAATTAAGTTTTACTTATAGAAAGTACACTTTCGTGATCATATTTATAAACACACTTAAGTGTACTTTTTACAAATGCACTTTGTAATAATATCTAATTAAATGTAACTTAAAGTAAGTACACTTTCATCACAATATTTCTAAATACACCTAAGTGCATGTTTTTAAAAAATCATTTTTTAATAATGTCTACTTAAGTTTTAGTTAAAGAAAGTACACTTTCATGTTAATATTTCTAATCACACTTAAGTGCATGTTTTAAAAAAATCCCTTTTTAATTGTGTCTACTTAAGTTTTACATTTTAAATAATTATGATTTTATAGTGTTTTAAAGTTATTAAAGTTATTAAATGAAATGTATTTTGATGAATTGACTAATATACTAAATAAAATAATAATTTTAATGGAAGACATGGAAAGTAATTCATTTTAATTTCAACTCAAGTGTGTTGTCCAAAAACAATTAGTTCATTTATTTTAAATGTGTTTAATCTAGAATATATCGACTGTGTGCATTAATGCACTTGGAATGTGTTTTTCCAATAAATTTGCAATACAGTATAATCCAGGACAACTTATTGTTGACATTTTTGTCAGTTTTCTACATAATATATGACAAAAAAAATGTAATTTATGAGAGGAGTCTTAGCATAACAGTAATGTGTGGTACTTTACGTGAGAAAGTCAATTAAACACATTTAATTGCAATCTACACTGAACAAAAATATTGACTTTTAGTTGGTTGAAAGAGTAGCGTTTTGTGAACTTACAGAGTATAACAACACAAAGAGTTAGAACAACTTCAACTTAAACAGAAAAGTTGAAATAAAAAATATACTGTATATGTTCAAGGTGTTTAATGCGCATGCGCCAGACGTCATGATGACGCACTACTTCCCTAGAGTTTGAAAAATGCGCTGTTGTGTTTCTGCACTGAAAAAAAAGTCTGTTGGATTTACATGATTTGATAGTGTACATCGGTCCCACATGAACCAATTAAGTTACACAAACATAATTTATTCATGTATCTTCAATGTCATGGAATTACGTCATTTTAAGTTATCCAATTAAGTAGTCTCAAAGTAATTTTAAAAGGCTTCATTTAAGGCTAATTTTAAAATTCATATATTCATTTATCCAATTAAGATTGAATGTGTTTGTCACACATCTCAATATCTAGTCTATAACCTGCAGTTAGCTACCAATAGTACTTGGTGGCATACTGAATGCTAAGGTATACATACACCTTCAGCAAAAAGTAGTTGCTATAAACATAGTTGGATCGGTCCACAGCCTAACCAAATCATCCACTCTTCTCCACAATGGTAACCAACTGTAATTTAAATGGTTCTAATAATTCCAATGTATTTGAACATTAAACACAATTACACACTAACCTTTTCTTATTTTCTCAAAAACATATAAAATAACACTTCATTTCAACATTTATTCTCTCGTAATTCAGACATATGCAAAGCATGCTGGGAATTAACATGCACCGCCCAATTTCAGTTAATACAACACAAATCATTCATGTTATCCAACACAAACGGATTAAGTAAACTTAAATTGTACATATATTTAAGCAGATTGGACACAATCAAATTAAGTTTGGACAAAATGTAAAGCAATTATGTTGCTTAAGCTAATTTTAATTAAGCGATTTGAACAAGCAGCAAAAATCATTTTTTTCAGTGTGTAATCGCGATGAGGAAATGAAAACAAGAAGAGAACAAAAGGAGCGCTCCACATTTGGCTGTTTGCAGATGAGATGTTATACTGCAAATAATTAGTCAAGTAAGTATATCTTGATGCTTTCCTTATTGATTTATTTTCCACCGCAGTTGATATTGCGATGAGTGCTTTTTAATCGCAGATAGTAATGTTGCTATACGCAATATAGATTCGGGAGCTAAATTGATCATGTTTCCAATAATTTATGTGTGACGCTGATGAGGTAATTCATCACATCACACATTCATCAACAGTTCATTTATGTTAAACTATTTTTGGAAAATCTTGGATTGTTGTCTTTTTGGATGTCATGTTATTGTTTGTATGTTTGTATAATGTCTAATAAAAACATTCATCAACAGTTAGCAGTCAAAAGTTTACGTACACCTTGCAGAATAAACTAAACTGCTTCATCAGGGTAGTACTAAACAAAAAGACAACATATACATTTTTGTGTTCCCTCTTATTGCTAAAATTACTAACATTTTGCAGATACTGCAAGGTGTATGTAAAACTTTAAAGGGAAAATATCTATCACTTTCATTCATTTGAGCCAAATTTAATAATGGACTGGATCTGTTTTATAAACAAATTTTTTCACTTTTTTTTCTCAAGGTATTTTTTCCTGACTTTCCTGCCTCTTTGGAACAAATCCATTCACATTTACTTTGGAGAGCACCGGGACATTGACATAAACAGGACTTTCCAACTACTTCAAAACATTTGGTGACAAATGATTTTGGTTTTCTTGTTTTTTTGCCTTTGGATTTCTTCATTTTTATTTTATTTTTATTTTTTAGACAAAATTATATTCACTGTAATGCTGAAGTAAGCATTTTGTCCTCTTTAATATTGGTGCTACAAAAAGGTTTAAGAGCTAAAATTAACCAGGTTTGTTAACACTTTAATTAGGTCTCATTTGTTAATATTAGTTTATGTATTAGCAAAACATGATCTAAAAAATGAGCATTTTTTACAGTATTTATTAATCTTTTATAAGATTAGTTAATTCAAATATAGTTTGTTAAAGTTAGAACAATTTATAGTTATTGTTCATACAAGTTCACAGTGCATTATAATTTTAGTACACAACTTTTGAATATAATAATGCATTATTAAATGTTGAAATTAACTAAGGCTAACAAATGCTTCAAGTATTATTCATTCTTAGTTCATGTTAACTGAAGGAGTTAACTAATAATACCTTTTTCATTACCCGTTTGAATCTTAGTGTTCACATTTTGCAACATCACATTTTGTTTGTATTAATTCATGGGTTGTGTATTTGATGTAATGTGTGTTTGCTTCTAAAAAAAATTTGTACTGGTAATCCCTAGGTTATGGAGACCAAATTACCCCAAAAGTATAGTAATACCAGTAATTTACATGGAAACAATCTTATAAATCATACAGAATTATGTTTTCTGAAAATGTCTAAAATTCTGTCATCATATACTCACCCTCAACTTACATTTAAGTGATCTTATGAATCACTGACAACTCTTAAATAGCTGGTTTGTAAATAATGCTATACTTCATTAAGAAATTATTAATTGATCATTAACAAAGTATGAAAATACAATTATTAAACACATTATAGATATACTTATAAATCAAGAAAAAACATTTATAGCTGTATTTAGAAACTTATTATTAATGTCTATTAATGCTTTATAAATGATTAACTGTTAACTCATGCTTATAATGAATAATAGTGTGCAGTTAAGTGTTACCTTTCTTTCTTCTGCTGAACACAACGGAGATATTTTGAAAAATGTCAGTAACCAAACAGTTAACTGGTCCCATTCACTTCCATAGTAGGAAACAAAATACCATGGAAGTCAATGGGACCAGTTAACTATTTAGTTACTGACATTTTTCAAAATATCTTCGTTGTGTTCAGCAGAAGAAAAATTCATACAGGTTTGAAACAACTTGAAGGTGCGTATATAATGACAGAATTTTCATTTTAAGTGTTGTAACCGTTTGTTTCTTGGGTTTTTTCTTGTGCATCAACAGAAAGGTTTTTATGTATTTATTTTAGAGATTGTTTTGTCAGTAAATATAGAGGGTTTTAAATTGAATATGTGTTGATTGTAACTATATAGGTTATTAAGACTTTTTTTGTCCAAATTTGAAATAAATTGCAACTATATTTTTTTTTCATTAAAAAAATGTATTTAATGTAATAAACAAGTACACTATTATATAATTAAAGTATATTTTTGTTGACATTATTTGCTTGTCAGTATATTTGGAAGTACACTTTTACCATATTTCAAAAAATCACTCTTAATATCAACTAATAGCATTTAATTTGAGCTTAATCTGTGATACATTTGAAATCAATTACATATAATATGCATTAAGTTTGTCGAAAACATTACACTTAATGCACACTTAAGTGTATTGTTGACTGACATTAAAGTATATTTTAGTTCACATTAATTGCATCATTATATTGTGTAGTGCACTTTAACTGTATTTTAAATACACTGGAAGCAATTGTGAGAGTGTAAAGTTGTATTAAAGTAACAATTAAGTTGTTCCAAAAAAAAAAAATCACTCTTGATGGCAACTTATTACACTTTATTTCAACTTAATATGTGATATATTTGAAATAAATTACACTTAATGTGCATTCAGTGCCCCGAAAAAATTGTATTTAATTCAAACTTAAGTGTATTGTTGACTGACTTCAAAGTATATTTTTAATCACATTAATTGCGTGTCATCATATTGTTTAGTGCACTTTAACTATAATTTAAATACACTAGAAGCAATTATGAAAGTATATATAAAGTTGTATTAAAGTACCAATTAAGTTGTTCCAAAAAATCACACTTGATTGCAACTTATTACACTTTATTTCAACTTAATATGTGATATATTTGAAATAAATTACACTTAATGTGCATTCAGTGCCCCGAAAAAAATGTTTTTAAATCGCACTTAAGTGTATTCATTTAAAGTGTATTTGTAACGCTTGGATGGAAAGAGGACCCAACAGCGAGGATGCAGTCAACTGATAGTCTTTAATGGATAGTAAGCAGACCAACAGTATTCATCAGAAGTTCAGGGGAATAATAGCAGAAAACAGTCACGGCCACACGGCACTAAACGAGAACAGAAATCCCCTCTTCTGGTGAGCCCCGAATGCAGCCACGGACGGTGACTCGCTAGGCAGAGAAACCCCGAACCTCCTTGAGTGAGGTGAGGTCAGCAGTAGGTTGGTGGCGAGGCAGAGGACCACAGCTTCCAGTACCGAACTGAAGTCAGAGAGCAAAAACCACACAGTAATATATGCAGGTAGGAATTACAGCTCACACCAGGACAGGACAGGACAGGACTAAGTAGAGAGAGATAATTTCGGCGTCAGTATTAAGCCACAACATAGAATAATCCGACAAGGATCTAGGGACAGAAAGCGCTAGAAGAAGGAGAAACAATCAGGGGAAGAATGGAAACAGCTGGTGCAGACCAGCACAGATAATAGGAAGAGTAGCCTCAGCTGATAGAGATGAGATAATGAGATCCTGAGGGCGTAATGCGAGAAAGAGAGAGAGAGAGTGAACAAACGGCCACAAGAGGGAGACAGAGAAAGAAAGAAGGACCAGGATCATGACAGTACCCCCCCCTCAACGAGCGCCTCCTGGCGCTCCCAGGGCTGAAGACCGATGAGACCGGAGGAAATCCTCGATGAGCGAGGGGTCCAAGACGTCTCGGGAGGGAACCCAACTTCTCTCCTCAGGACCATACCCCTCCCAGTCGACTAAATATTGGTACCCACGACCCCGTCGGCGTCTGTCCAAAATTCGGCTGACTGTGTAGACAGGAACGCCCTCAACACGAACGGGGGGGCAAGAAGGGCGGGAGGGAGGGCGAATGACCAGCTTAATACATGAGACATGAAAAACAGGGTGGACTCGACGGAGATTGGACGAAAGACGAAGACGGACAGTGACAGGATTGATGATCTTGATAATGCGGAAAGGACCAATGAAACGGGGTGCCAATTTACGAGACTCGGATTGGAGAGGCAAATTTGCTGTGGAGAGCCATACTCTCTGACCACGAATGTAGCGAGGGCTCTTTACCCGACGCTTATTGGCCGCTGTTCTCATGCGTCCCCTTGAACGACAAAGTGCTGATTTAACTCTCCTCCAGGTGCGTCTACAGCGAGCCATAAAGACCTGAACGGACGGACACCTAGACTCCGCCTCCTGTGAGGAAAACAGAGGAGGCTGGTAACCAAGGCAACCGTGGAAAGGCGAAAGGCCCGTGGCGGAAGACGGATGCGAGTTATAAGCGTACTCAGCCCAGGGGAGTTGTTCAGACCACGATGCGGGATTGCGAGAAACCAGACTACGGAGAATGCGAGCAATGCTTTGATTAGCCCGTTCGGCCTGCCCATTAGTTTGGGGGTGATAGCCCGACGAAAGGCTGGCGGTGGCCCCTATAAGGCGGCAAAACTCCTTCCAGAACAATGAGGCGAACTGCGGACCTCTATCAGACACTACATCGGAGGGTAACCCATGCAGTCTAAAGACATGGTTTACCATGATCTGGGCAGTCTCCTTAGCAGAGGGAAGTTTAGGGAGCGGAATAAAGTGAGCCGACTTAGAAAAACGATCGACTACAGTCAGGATGACTGTACTCCCAGCTGAGGAGGGAAGTCCGGTAATAAAATCAAGCGCTATATGCGACCACGGACGAGCAGGCACAGGCAAGGGTCGAAGGAGACCGGCGGGGGGAGAATGACTCGACTTGGTCTGAGCGCACACGACACAAGAGGCAACAAAACGACGCGTGTCATGTTCTAACGTGGGCCACCAAAAACGCTGACGGATAGAGGCGAGCGAACCCCGAACTCCCGGATGAGCGGCTAATCTGGAAGAATGTCCCCATCTAAGGACCGCTTGACGCGCTGACGCGGGAACAAAAAGAAGATCCCTAGGACACTCAGGAGGGGCAGTGACTCGAGAGAGAGCCCTTCTGACCAGTCTCTCGATTCCCCAAACAATAGCCCCCACGAAGCGCCCTGGGGGAATAACCGCCTCATGATTGACTGGCGCAGAAGACGAATCAAAGAGACGGGAGAGAGCATCGGGCTTAACGTTCTTGGAACCTGGGCGGTAGGATATCGAAAAATCAAAGCGAGTAAAAAACAGAGCCCAGCGAGCTTGGCGTGCGTTCAAACGCTTAGCAGAACGGATGTACTCCAGGTTACGGTGGTCAGTCCACACCAGAAACGGAACAGCGGACCCCTCTAACCATTGTCGCCACTCCCCTAAAGCTAGGCGAATGGCGAGTAACTCCCGATTACCGACATCGTAGTTGCGTTCAGCAGGTGAGAGGCGGTGAGAGAAAAAAGCACAGGGATGTACTGTACCGTCAGCGGCGGACCGTTGGGAGAGCACAGCCCCGACCCCCACCTCTGAGGCATCCACCTCCACTATAAATTGTCTCGAGACATCGGGAGTGAGTAGGACCGGAGCCGTAGTAAAAAGGGTCTTAAGCCGATCAAATGCCGTTTGTGCGGCATCTGACCACCTAAAGCTGGACTTGACGGACGTCAGAGCTGTAAGGGGCGCGGCTACCTGGCTGAAATTTCGGATGAAACGACGATAAAAATTCGCAAATCCGAGAAACCGCTGTAACGCGACGCGGGAGTCGGGTATGGGCCAATCGGTAACCGCCGACACCTTGCCTGGATCCATACTGACCCCCTCTGCGGAGACAATAGAGCCTAAAAACGAAATCGAAGACACGTGAAAGGTGCACTTCTCAGCCTTGACAAATAGTCGATTCTCTAGAAGCCGTTGGAGGACGCGGCGGACGTGCTGAATATG